GGACCCATGGGTGGCCCACTTTCTGCAATTTCTTAATTAAATATGGTTTATTTATATACTTTATATACATAGTATATTATATATGAATATTATAAATAGTTTAATATGAATATATATATTAAATGAAGATTCTTTTCCAAAAAAAGAAATTCCTTCAGAACCAGGAGTAGCTGTGTACACCTTTAATCCCAGTGCTCTGCAGACAAGCAGATCTCAGTTCAAGGCCAGACTGCTCCACATAGTGAGTTCCAGGGCAGCAAGAGCTACATTGTGAGACCCCATCTCATATGGGAGGGCTCTTCTAAGGTTGGGTAGGGAGATTGGCTGACAAGGATTTCAGGGGTCAGGTTCTTTCATAATGCCAGCCGCTTACAAGGGTGTGGGGTGGTGTCTGTGTGCAGGATTATGGTAAAGATAAGTAGCAACCCTCAGAACAAAGGGAATCCTTATGTTAATAGTCTTTAGAGGGTGAGGGCTCTGAACTTGGAAGATCAGTGAAGGGATTGGACAGGACACAAAGCAGGAACTTAGAAAGCTCACCACACTGTCCACTCTAGGACAAGCCAGGGTGGAGCAGCCTAGGGAAGGTGTTAATGGGATGTAAGGGGTGCTAATGCGCTCTACAGGAGCAGCCACAGGGTCTAACAGTTCAGAGATCCCAGAGTGAGAAGGGGAGTGTGAATCCAGGGACAGTGGTGGCCTGGATGAAATCTGGATACCTGGACACTATTTATTTATTTATTAGGATTCCAGCACGATTCATGTCTTCCCTGAATCTCATGTTCAACACTTATGCTTAGTTTCCCTCATTGGTAAAGCAATGTGGCCCTGTGATACCCTCCATCCGGGTGTTTAGATGACTAACCGTTACCCCAGCCTCTTTCATGCTCCAGGACCAACTCATCCCCTTCCTCACTCCACTCACCCCAACACAAAGCAGAGATGAAGATTAATCATGTGTATTAGAAAGCATGAACTCTGAGTCCATTAAAATTTTTTTCTTGCTGGGCAGTGGTGGTGCCTGTCTGATAGGATGGCAGATCTCTGTGAGCCAGCCTGGGCTACATAGCAGGGTGCAGGAGTGTCAGGGAATCAGGGCAACAAGAGAAACCTTGTTTAGAAAATCCAAAAACCAAAACAGAAGAAAGAAAAAGAAAGAGAAATAAAGAGAAAAGTTTCTGAGTCTTTTTTTTTTTTTTTTT